TTTCTGGAGGTGTCCGTTGTACACAGTGCTGCCTGACATTTGGGACAGCACTTTTGATTTACAAAACACATTCCCAGGAATTCACCATCTCACGGGATTTCCACAGCAGGTTGAAAGAAGATAGAGGCACACTTATCCCTATTCATAGGGAAAAATCCTGAAGCTTAGATGGGTATAGGGGATTGGCCAGAGTTCTTGGTCCAGGGGCTTTTGGAAGTCACCATCTTTTTTTTTTCTTTTTTCTTTTTTTCATCTAATAACCTGTTGGATGACAGAAAAATTTGTTCACCCATGCCTTGTTCTCTCGTTGCATAAAGGAACTGATAAGAGGCAGGGGAGCTGGTTTCTCACCTGTATCCTTTAGGGCTATATCACCTTGAAAATCACACCCTTATCCTTGCTACCGGTGATTTGCTGTCTTCCAATGTGTGGGGAGAATAGTGAAGGTGGAAGCCATTCTGCTGTCAAGCTAATGTCACAAAGATCGTCATCAAACAGGAACTGGGTTGGATTCAGTAGCATCATTCCAGGGACAGCCATACTCCCCAGGATGTGTTCCAGCATCAAGGCCTTAGGGCTCAGGAATGTGATCATCCCACCCGAGGCTGTGCTGCATTTCCTCCAGTAATTCCAAGGCTGAAGACGTTAGTGACCGGTAGAGATTTGGCTTTTGAATCAGGCTCTGTGCGGTTGGGTTTAAGGTTATTAAGGATAAGGTCTAGGATGATTCAAGGGAAAGCACCAGAAAAGGGGGGGCGGGAAATCCTCTTAATTCTAGTTCACGCATTGATAATAGGTAAAGTCAACAGGAACTGGAAGGCTATTCCTCTGTGGCCAGTTGACCATCCTCCTCTTCTTTAAAGAGCAGCTTTTAACCCAGAACTACAGAAAAGCAACAGCCTTGCTGAAATCATCCCTGAGGGCCACCTCCATTCAATACCTTGATCTTTTGCACGCATTCATTGCGTGTCCACTATGGGCCAGGTACTGGGGATACAATGAAGAGCAAAAGGCAATTTTGATATTTGACTCTTCCCACTCAAATCTAATCTTATTCCATTCCCCTAGTCCCCTCATTTGCCTCCCAGTCCCCTCCCCCCTGTCCCCCCTCACCTCTATAGTTCTGATTCCTGAACCATTTGCACTGTTTTGGCAAAACACTCCAGAGTATGAATTACTGGTTTGGGAAAACACCCTGCTCCATCTCTCCCAGTCCACACTCTTCTTCAGGATATGATAAGCCCTAGGGTTCTCCTTCATATACTTCAGATCCCCTTTACTCCCCTTCCAGGGGATGGTCCTACCAGGCCGGAGTTTGTGAACATGATATGAAATGAACTGTAATCCTTATGTCCACACAAGCTCCTTCTTCTGGATGTGTTTTCTTTAAAGCAAAATGTCCTTCAGAGAGCTCTCGTGGTTTGTTTTCCATCCTTCAGCCCAGTGGTTCTCAACCTTCCTAATGCTGCGACCCTTTAATACAGTTCCTCATGTTGTGGTGACCCCCAACCATAAAGTTATTTTCGTTGCTACTTCATAACTGTAATTTTGCTACTGTTATGAATCATAATGTAAATATCTGATATGCAGGATGTATTTTCATTGTTACAAATTGAACATAATTAAAGCATAGTGATTAATCACAAAAACAATATGTAATTATATATGTGTTTTCCAATGGTCTTAGGCGACCCCTGTGAAAGAGTCATTCGGCCCCCAAAGGGGTCACGACCCACAGGTTGAGAACCACTGCTTTAGCCATTCTTCCTCATTCCCTGCGGAACTGCCAGTTCCTTAGCCATGTGGATTGAGTTGTTATTGATCCCACTTCTAGTGCAAGGAGAGAAGCTTGCTTATCATGAACCACTCCAATTAGAGTGAACCCAAGGAATTTTACTGGGAATTCTGGAATACAGAACTTTTCCTCTTTGTGGAAGTTGGTGGTATGAGGTTGTGAGACTCAGGACTGCATTTGTTATGATGAATGAGCCTGGAATTTCCAGGGACCACTGCTGAAAGCCTGGGGATGGAGCCAACCAAGAGGAAGCAGAGATGAAATGGATCAGGAGATAATGATGCATGGATCCCGAATCAAACTGGGTCTGAACCATTACTACCTCTGGATTATTCAACTAAGTGAGCCAATGAACTCAACCACCCATTTAAAATACTGATTTAAGTTTGATTTTCTGTCTCTTATAAAAGATCACTGTCCTTAGGGTAGGGCTTGCCAAGGGTGTAGCAGTGGTCTGGGTTGTAGATGTTTCTTGAGGGTGATCACCCAGCCTTCTGGGAGGGACTCAGAGCAGCCAGAGCTCCAAGGCTGGTCATCTCTAGCGGCAAGTCGTTTTGTCCATTTATCCCAGTGAGACAACAAATACAGAATTTTAATGTACACTATTATGGTGATTTTAAAATATGTTAAAGTTATTTAACAGTCCTCTGTTCAAAATTTAGAGCCTAATTCTCCTCCTCTGGAATGTGGACTGATCTTGGTGGTTTGCTTCTGGCAGACATGAGCGACTGTGATTTCTGAGGCTAGGCCATAAAAGATATTGCCACTTTTGTTTTGCTTCTCTTGAACCACTTACCCTGAGGGAAGTAAGTGGCCATGTCATGAAGGCTCCCTGTCTTTGACTACTGACTTGCAATCATAAGGACCAATGCCAGCCCTAAAAGGTTTTTGTTAACATAAATCTGTTGTCATGGATAGGACTGAATGGAATTATAGACTTTAAGACAATGTATGTCAGGAAAGTCCAATCAGGTCTATGCAGTATATTCATGTTTCATTTTTCCGAGATTCTTAAGAGATAGTGACAACTGCACCCTTTACCTTGCTGAAGGACAGGAGGCATGAAATTAAAGCTTTGAAAATTGGACTGTCCAGGATAGTAGCCACCTGCCACATGTGGCTCTTAAGCACTTGAAATGTGGCTAGCCTTAATTGATATTAAGTGTTAGATGTAAAATCTGTAAGTGTAAAATATATACATACATATTTCAAAGACTTGGTATGAAAGAATGTAAAATACTTCATCAATAATTTTTATATTGATTGCATTTTGAAATGACAATATTTTGCATAGATGAGATTAAATAGAACATAGTATTAAAACTCATTTCACTTATTTCTTTTTATGATTATTTTTAATGTGGCTTGCGCTATGTTTCATTGAACAGTGCTGTTCTAGAAGCAGGCCTCCTTACACTCACTTATTCACTTAGTCATTCAACCACTATTTATTGAGGATCTTCTGTGTGATGAGCACTGGGCCAGGGAACAGCAATGCAGCAGTGAACACAGTTCCTGCACTTGGGCAGCAAGTGGCACCAACTGTGTAAAAAAAATATACCAACAGGTATCTAAAAGCAGAGACAGCCAGAACCGGTTTGGCTCGGTGGATGGAGCATTGGCCTGCGGACTCAAGGGTCCCGGGTTCGATTCCGGTCAAGGGCATGTGCCTTGGTTGCGGGCACATCCCCAGTGGGGGTCGTGCGGGAGGCAGCTGATGGATGTTTCTCTCTCATTGATGTTTCCGGCTCTCTATCCCTCTCCCTTCCTCTCTGTAAAAAATCAATAAAATAGATATTTTTTAAAAAATTAAAAGCAGGGACATTTAGTCAGGAATATCCTAGGTTATTAGGATTATTAGGGCTCGTGGCATTAAAAGCCAGCCCCCTATAACTTAGCACCTAACACTGTTGTTTGAGAGCAGAATAGAATAGGTGCTGATAATGATGGCCATCCCGAGTCCCCCAGGAAACGTTATATTCCATGGGCCTGTTGTAGACTGCTGTGTGTTACGGCTATGCGCACACAGAGCCTCTTCCTCACTAAACGGAGACACTTTGGAGGGTAGTGACAATGATATTTAACCTTCATCTCACTCAGGAGCTCCCACACAGAAGATACTAAACAACATATGGAATGATATGAAATATACATCATGTATACTCATTTAAGAAAGCAATTAAGTATATAATATAGTTTAAAAAGAGTTCTGCCCTGAATGCTTAAAAAACAAAGTTTGTCACTTAAACTTAAGCTTTAGTAATTAAAAACAAAAAAAAGTCCCTCTCCGGATATAAATTCATGCAGACCTGATGATATAAACAAAAAGTTCTGGCATATCCAAATTAAATTCTGTCTCAGGAGCACCAAGAATAAATATTGCAGAAGAGGTCCGACCCTGGACAGCGCTGATTGGCCAAGGCCACAGTCGCCCATGTTTCTTCTTCTCTGAAGTGCTGTACAAAGCATTACGAGTTGTCAGTACAAAAAGCACAAGTTGCAAGGGGAAACTTTTTGTTTACAACTCTTAGTGCATTTTTAGTACCAGTCAAGGTAATCAGTCATATTAAAAATATATAATTTAATTCTCAATAATTTTGTTCATCTTTCTCCTAAAGTACATTGTCACAAGAAGTCAAAAAAGACTGTATGTGATATGCATATGCTAGCGTACAGCACAGTGTGCCGATATGAAAGCAGAAATATTACCCTTTTATAAAGATAAACTTGGTCCCACTGAGGAGGAGAAGAAAAAATGCAAAGCACCAGGAAAATGGTTTCAATTTAAGGGAATGCCGCTCAGAGTACCATGTATCTCCTAAATCAGTGCGAGTGTGTTCCTCTAGAAACACAGGTTAAATTAACTTACCAGTAACAATAAAGCAAAAACAACTATATAACAATAGTTCACCGCTACCAAAAGGGTAACGAGGTCACAAATAATTAATCTGTCCCCAAGTTTCCAACCATTATGATTCTTAGATCCTTAAGGCCCTCACAGATTTGTTGAACATGGTTTGCACCCCTGCACGCTCACCCTCTTTTCCCTTGAAGAGGGGATGAATGAGGTTCACTTTGAATAGGCTGGTGGGCAACTTTTCCATTTTCCCTTGGGAAATTTGGATTGATCCTCTAAATCCTAATACGGGCCAGAGGAAAGTCACCTTCCAGGTAGACAGTAACTGACCACTCAGCAGGAGACGTGTTTATGACTTGTTTTGTTCAATACTGTGGAAAACGATTCTTTAATAAATACACAGGCATTCTGATTAACCACCCTCGGCTACCCTCACCCCCCCTCCCAAATGGAAAAAATACCCCATGGGGTCACTTGGACCCCAAATCTTCTAGAGTGCTGTCTGGCCAGGGAGCATGAGTCTGTCTTGCGTGGTCAACGTCCAGTGGTTTCAGTACCGGTGAGTCCTTCTCTGGGGTCGCAGAGCCTCAGTCTTCATGGGTGTAGACAGCTTTTCTTAGCTGCCTTGTGACAACTGGGTTTCACATTTCCTGAAACTAGATCTGTGGAAGGAGTCTCTGAAATTAAGGAGAGAGAGAGAAAAAGAAAACAGAGGTAAGAAAGATCAATTCGCTTTTGAAAGAAAGGGGAAATCACCCACTAGAAAAGGACATCAATCACGGGGTACTCAGTAACTAATAAGAGAAGGTGTGAGATCCCTTCACACTGTGCCAGAAAATACTCGGGCGGGCGGTAAGTCAGCCTGGGAAGACGGCTGGCCAATGGCCAGCAGGAGGGGTCCCAGTGAGGTTAGGAGAAGGGACAGGGGGGATCAGGATGGAAGCAGAACAGATTGAGCTCAGGCAGCTCCCCTGACTCTAGCCCACACCCAGCCCTCCCTCTGAGCCCGTGTGCAGTGGAGTGTGCCCTGTTGCTGGGCCCCAAGCCCTTATCCTTTACCCCAGGAAGAGGCCTTCTCCTCCAGCTCTTACCTCTTTTGACTTTCAACTCTGAATATCGGCTTGTAGAGATCTGGAATTTTCCGCTCGATCATGGGCCTGAGGTTCTCTTTCAGCTTGTTGTAGTTCTTTTTGAGTTCCTGCTGATATTCCCTCTGGTCAGCTGTGATGAGACGCTTGTTTTTCTCCACGGCCTCACCACATCTGAGATACACATATCAGGGTGGGGAGAAAATGAGGTTTCATTTCATAGGTGTTTGAAGCATTTAGAAATGAGGGATGACGATATGATTAACTTTTTTGTTGTTGTCGCTGTTAATTCTCACCTGAGGATATTTTTCCACTGATCTTTAGAGAGAGTGGAAGGGAGAGAGACAGAGAGAGAAACATCGATGTGAGAGAGACACATCGATTGGTTGCCTCCCATACATGTCCTGACCAGGGCCAGGGATCCAGCCTGCAACCAAGGTATGTGCCCTTGACTGGAATCCAACCCAGGACTCTTCAGTCTGCAGGCCGATGCTCTATCCACTGAGCCAAACCTGCTAGGGCTCAATTAACATTTCTTGAGTAACCCTCGGAGTGTGTGCAAACTTGACAGCCTATCAGGATCATCTGGGTAGCTTTTAAAAATGCAGATTTCTGGCCCCACCTCAGACTTGATGAATCAGAATCTCTCAGGGGCAGCACCCAGGAATCTGTATTTTTGAAAAGTTGCCCAGGCAATACTGATGCTCTGATTCACTATGTGCTAGGCGCTATTCAAGGAACTTCACATCCATTATCTGGTTAATTTTTTCAGCAAACCTGGGAAGTCTATGTTTATCTCTATGTTGTCCCTGAAGCTCAAAAATGTTAGGTTCTTGCCGAAGATAACACTGTGAGGAAGTGGTGGATCCAAGATTCAAACTCAGGTCACTGAAGAATGGAACCTCTTATGCTCACAAAAAGGTCCCTGTGCTTTATGGTGACAGGGCAGACACAGTAGGTGCCATTCAGGCCCCTCCTGCTACCTACACATGGAAATGCTGAAAAAGCGCAGCAAACATTTGTTGAAAGGGAAAGGGAAACCCCAGGTGCCAGAAAGGAAGAGAAAAAGCAAAATCAAAGAGACAGCAGAAGCTGGTGCCATGGCAGACGCAAGGAGGACCGCCTGTTAGGATGCTAAGATTGCCTACAGGGCCTGGAGGCTGGAGCAGGAGGTGGATTTCAGAGCCCACACAAGGTAAGTGAGGAAGCCTTGGCCAGGGCAAAGTGGGATTCTGCATATGCCGCCTGCTTATAGTTCAGAGCCCTGAAAAGCTACCCCATCTGTGAAAAAGGGTCTAGAAAAAGGCTGCAAACTGTCCAGAGAGGTGGAATGGAAGTTTATTATCAGCTTGGGGCCATTAATAGGAAAGAAAGTCACCTAAAGAAACTGAAATTCTAGGCTTGCACCACATGTGGGTATGAGTTACTAATTTACATTCCTCTGTTGTGGGTGCTCCCATTAACTATAAAACCAGACCAAGATTATTAAAATCCCTAAGGCTCAGATGGGAATAGATGTAAGGCTGCTTTGGAGGAACAGTTTCTTAATCAGGGCCCATGGGCTACCCTCGATAGAACAACCCTTACCAAAGATGAACTCACAATAAAAAATTACAAACCACCGAGGAAACCAACTACCATGAGGGAGAACCAACAGATGCAACAAGGAGGAGAATTACCCCAATAAGAATCAGAGACAATAGAATAATGTAGAAAAACCAAAGTTAATATAGATGTCTAAGAAGAGGTATAAAATCCATGATTTAAAAAGTGGAAGAGTATGAAAAAAGAGACCAGGAAAATTTCAGAAAAGAACCAAATAGAACTTCTAGAAATAAAAATGTAGTCACTAAAATAAAGAGAAAAATCTCAATGGACAGTTAAACAAACTAGACACAACTGGAGAACTCATGAACTATGTGACAGATCTAAGGAAACCATCAAAGAGATAAAAAAAATTTTAAATATGAAAAAAATGGTTGAAAAATCTGGAGATACCATGGAGATGCCCGATCCACATCTAAAAGAATGTTTAAAAGAATGCAAAACGAGTAAGAGGCAATATTCCAAGATAACAGCTGATAATTTTCCAGAATTGAAAAGAGACAGAAATTCTCTAATCAACAAAAGCAGACCGATACCTAGCCCCACCATGGTGAACCTGCAGAGCATTAAAGAAAAAATATTAAAAACTTGGGTTTATTGCCTGGCCAGTATGGTTCAGTGGATTGAGCATCAATCCCATGCATCAAGAGGTCACCAGTTTGATTCCCAGTGAGGGCACATGCCCGAGTTGCAGGAGGTATGTGCAGGAGCGGGTGTGCAGGAGGCAGCTGATCGATTTTTCTGTCTCATTGATGTTTCTAGTCCTCTCTCTCTAAAAAAATCAATAAAACATAAAAAACCCAAACTTGTGTTTATCAAACTTGTGAACAATCAAGCCTAGTTTTTTCATGGTTCCCACAGTATGGTATATACCAAGGAAGAAACTCATATTATTTAAACATAATAAATCTTGCCCTTTATACTGTTCTACTCAAGGGAATTTACAAATCAACAAACCTTGAAGGGACAACATAATGGGTGAAATTTAGTCATCCTTCAGATGACTAGGATTCCGGTGATCAACGTGGTTTAAACTGTTTTCCTAACAGTGGTGCTAAATTTCACTTAAGTTATGGGGATACTCAGATCTGATTATCAAATTCTTCCTGTTACCACTGCACACATTTTCAGGATGACAGTGGGGCAGGGGAAAGCTACCTGGCCTAGGCAAAAATAAGTCTATGGCCGTAGCTTCATCACAGAATTAGCCTGCTGTGGAACATGGAGTTGATTTAACTCAGCCAGGAGCCAAAAGAACTTCCTTAACTGGATTTTCATTCATCTTTTAAGTTTGACATTAATTGGAGCAAATTGTAGGATATCTAAGGTTATAGATCTAAGATTTCAAGGAAGGGGAAGGAAGGGCATATAGCCTTTGAATCCTGAGAAATCGACATCGCCCTTGTTATTTTTTATGGCTTCTTAACGGACAGTTATGAGCTACTACATATGTAAAATACAGTCAGTTTCAGGGTGACTTTGAGGCCCAGGTTTGTAGCACAGTATGGCTACAAGAGGCCGGTGGGAGCTGACTGCTAACTTGAGGATGTCTACTCTAACAAAAGGTAGAATTAACTAAATCCTCGGTAGTCTGTGTTATCAAAAGGAACAATAGCTAGCTAACATATGCTATGTACTATCTGCCCTAGACTGGGATAAATGCTTTACATGCAGTCAGAGATGGGGTTGAAACCCAGTCGCTACTCCTCAGTGCAATGACAGCCATTGGAATCCTGTTTTCTCATCTTTAAATGCTTAGTTTAAATCCTTAAACTAAGATATTGTATTTCCCAAAGTGCCAAAATCTCCTGTTTGATGAACTTTCTATAAATACATGGACAATAACTTCTCTCAGGCTGTTCACAGATGAAAAAAATTAATTTGTTATGGAAGAGCAAATCAAGGGAGGATTTAATGTGTGGAAAAATTAGCATTCACTTTAGGCTAAAGGTGAAATACATTAAATGCATCAGAAAGGGTACATTTTGAAACTTAAAATTTAGCTCTTAGTAATTATGGAAGTTTATTTACCATATCCTCTTTTTACTGTAGGTATTGAGGAACAGACTTTTAAAAAAATTCTTTATTGTTTAAAGTATTACATAAATCTCCTTTTCCCCCCATTGACCTCTCCCCAGCCACTCCCACCCTCCAGCACATGCCCTGATCCCCCTACTGTCTGTGCCCATTGATTATGCTCATATGCATGCATACAAGTCCTTTGGTTGATCTCTTACCTCCCTCCCTGCCCCCCACCCCCACCCCACCTTCCCTCTTAGATTGGACAGTCTGATGCTTCTATGACTCTGGCTCTATTTTTGTTCATCAGTTTATGTTGTTCATTATATTCCACAAATGAGTGAGATCATGTGATATTTGTCTTTCTGCAACTGGCTTATTTCGCTTAGCATAATGCTCTCCAGTTCCATCCATACTGTTCCAAATGGTAAGAGTTCCTTATTTTTTTGCAGCAGCATAGTATTCCATTGTGTAGATATACCACAGTTTTCTAATCCACTCATCTGCTGATGGCACTTAAACTGTTTCCAAATCTTAGCTATTGTAAATTGTGCTGCTATGAACATAGGGGTGCATATATCCTTTCTGATTGGTGTTTCTGATTTCTTGGGATATATTCCTAGAAGTGGGATTACTGGGTCAAATGGGAGTTCCATTTTTAATTTTTTGAGGAAACTCCATACTGTTCTCCACAGTGGCTGCACCAGTCTGCATTCCCACCAGCAGTGCAAGAGGGGTCCTTTTTCTTTACACCCTCACATTTTCAGAACTTTTCTTTTGGGTTTGAAAACTGCTAAAATCTAGTCAGGATGGTTAAGTAACATTGCCAGTCAATTGTATGCTGTAAATTACAAGCCTTAGGGATGGGATGTTCTTTTTTCTAACTGGAAAAGGAAATGATGTAGTAGAACATGTTATTCTACTACTGAAAATCTTTAATGATTTTGCTGGTTTCTAGAATAGTGTAAGTTTATATATATACTAGAGACCCAGTGCACAAAATTTGTACATGGGGTGGGGGGAGTGCCTCAGCCCAGCCTGCACCCTCTCGCAATCCGGGACCCCTTGGGGAATGTCCGACTGCCAGTTTAGGCCCGATCCCATGGGATCGGCCTAACTGAATCGGAATCCCTCTCACATCGGGGACTGCTGGCCCCTAACTGCTTGC